TTTATTGCATTGTAGCTCAACTTTCTACTATCTATTTGTTTGTGTGTTCTAGCAGAAAATATGAAGCCTAAAATGATATTTTGCTGCCAATTGTATTTCTAATATCTAGCATCAGTTCTGCACAAAATATGGACTTAATGATTATTTTTAAAAATTTGGGTTCAATTTTTTAAAGTTTGGGAACAGAGCTTATTACAGGAAAGGTGTTCACATGTCTGCATCTGCCTGGACCTATTGATCTAATGTAATTATTAACAGAGTCCTCTTTCAGTCTCGAAATGTAAAGGATAAATGATATGAGCACTCTAATTAGAGGGGTCCTCGTGGGACCAGGGAAGGATTCTGAGTGATGCCCATAAGATTCATTAGAGTTTGGATTTGGCTCTGGTTGGATAAGAATGTTGAATTTTTAGATGAGCAATTTTAAAGAGTGACTGTTATTACCCTTGTCACCATTATATTTTGATTATGTGCTCTATAATTAGATGTTGAAAATGCTAATGCATATTAATACTTGATTGATTTGATTACCCATCATAATTATACTTTGATCACTTTTGATAAATATATTGATTCATAGTTTATTTACTTCACAGTATTCTTTGTATAACTGCTTTGATAATATCTGATTACATCTTAATATTTGATTGCTTTGAGTAGCTCTTGTTTTAACCATTGGGATGTTGGATCGTATTAGCTATGATGAACCTGACTAGTGGTTATATGAGCGTTGATTTTGCAGAGAAACATGCCTGGGTTTGATGTTCTTCTTTACTTACCTGGGTAACCTCTTAACCTCACTTAACCTCTCTGGTCTTTAGTTTCCCCATCTCTAAAATGGAGATGATAAAAGTTACTCATAAGGGTGCCAGGTGGATTAATAAGAAAATCATGTATTAGTAGGGTATTCTGGCTGGTCCCTAACTGACATTCTGGGTAATTCTCATGTGTAAATGGATGATATTCCCTACTCTCACCCAAGTATCTATTTGCATGAACTAATACACATTAAGGCTTTTTGTTGATGTTGTTTCAGGAGGGGGCTCAGGGAGAAGGGAGAAGTTGTTCTGGGTGGGGTACTGATGAGGGAGAGAGGAAGAGAAGAGGAGGAATAAATGGGAGGCCAAGTCATGGGCTCCATTTTGCCATTCAGGCCCCAGGGTCCAGGTGTTCAGAATACAAGAGGTCCTGGCCGAAGGGGCAAATGGGCTGGCATCTGGCCACACGGTTACATTTGCTTGGGTGGTGTATCGTTTCTCCCTTTTCTTTTCTCTTTTTTTCTTTTCTTTTCTTTTCTTTTCTTTTCTTTTCTTTTCTTTTCTCTCTCCCTCTCTCTCTCTCTCCCCCCCCTTCTTTCTTTTTTGTTTTTGAGACAGAGTCTTGCTCTGTCACCCAGGCTGAAGTGCAATGGCACAATCTCGGCTCACTGCAGCATCCTCCTCCTGGGTTCAAGTGATTCTCCTGCCTCAGCCTCCAAAGTAGCTGGGACTACAGGTGTGTGCCACCACGTCCAGCTAATTTTTTTGTATTTTTAGTAGAGACAAGGCTTCACCGTGTTAGCCAGGAGGGTCTCCATCTCCTGACCTCGTTATCCACACGCCTCGGCCTCCCAAAGTATTGGGATTACAGGCATCAGCCACTGCGCCTGGCTGAGTGGTGTATCTTTTCTAATTCACAAAGAGGAGCCATGAGAACCCTCAGAGGTGTCACATGAAAGAAGGACTTGTTTGAGATTCAGTAGAAATGAAGAGATAGAGTGAGAGACAGAGAGAGACTGAGCGCAAACTCTGAAGTTCCCATGTGTGTGGAGGGTTTTGTGAGACTCTGGGCACAGGAACAGCAGTGTAGGTCCAGGAGGGCATCTCTTCCCCCGGGCTGCAGTTCGTGCCCTGGATCCCAGAGTGCTCTGTGGGAGATGGCTGTGCATGGCAGGTCAGCCTTCTCATGGGCTTTGGGGAACTTGGGGTGTGTGTCTCTGTATGTGTGTATGTGCACATGTGTACTGAGAGGAAGGGAACATGGACAGTATGTGTGTGGGGGTGACCCTTAACTATTAATAGCTAGAAATTACAGAGCTTTTAGCTCCAGGTGCTTTGCCAAACACTTTACATACATTATAATTTTTAATGGTCACAACAACCCTGTGACAATAACCAATAGTACTTTTATTATCCTCATTCTACAGATGAGAAGTAGAGGCAAAGAGAAATTAAGGAACTTCTCCTGATGTTACAGACAGTAGAGTTGGGATTTCAATCCAGACAGTCAGATGCCAGAGTCGCTGCTCTTAGCCATGACTCTATACTGCCTCCTGTTCAGGGAAACTGAAGCTGTTCCAGACATGGGTGAGCCCCCTACTGCTACCCCTGGGGACACCTGGAGTGGGGAGGAACTCAGCTGCTGCATAAGCCCATGATCCTCAACTCACTGAAATCTGTTAATGGGATCCATCTCTTCCCTCAGCCTGGGGACACTATGTTTTGGATATAAAGCACATTTGCCCAGGACCTGGCTCTGGCTTAGGACTCAGTTAAGAATTATATTTTTAGTGTTCTGGATGATTGGCTTAGCAGTTCTTTTCTTGAGTCATGTTTTTATAGATGAAAGCACAGAGACCCTCTTAGCCAAGTCAGGGCCCACTTTGACCTTCTGTTGTGCCTGTCCTTGTGTCTGACCCAAACTGAAGTCCACAGTGCAGTGGGATGACCTGCCTTCTCTCCAGCTGTGGGGAGACTCAGGCATGGGTAATGGTCCCCTGGCACTGCGCCACTGGAGAAGAAAAACTATTAACTGCCCATCTGCTGGCTGCTGTTGCTGGCTGCCATCCAAATGACCCACAAACCCTGGGAACGTTCAATGACTAGACACAGCCATGTGCTCCTGGAACACCAGAGCAACCACCCCATACTGAAAGGAAGGACACCTTTCCATAATCCCATATGAGTCCCCACACATTAGCAAGTCTCTTCTCTTAATCCTTCCTTCCTTTGCAGAAAACTGATTTATCTACATCCCATCCCTGAAACTGTGAAATGCTATCTTTTTCTTTTCCATCCCTCTATTTTATAACTTTTTGAGTGTAGTACAGTGATATTTTTAATATGCTAGGGATTTCCAAAATTGAGATGTTGCTTTTTTCCCTTTATGTATAAAGTTACATTTTTTGGTCATGCATGGATTTAAAAAAAATCCTTGGAGGAAATAAAGTAAAATGCTAACAAGTCTGTGGGTGATGCAATTATGGGTTATTTTAATTTTCTTCTCTGTACTTCTCCGTAAGTATGTGCTTCTTTTTATGATATGAAAGAAAGTGGATTTTGTTTGTATAGGTTTTTCTTTTTGAGATTAGTTGCCTCTTTCAATATTTTTATTCTATCTAATGCAAATTATAGTGCAATTTTATTTCAAGTAGGCATGGTATTTTTTGTTTTTACTCCATTTTGCTCCCTGAAATTTCTCTAGGATGGATCTGTTCTGCTAAAGAGGAGGTGGACTAGAAACCGTAAGTACAGACCCAAGCAGCATCTTGTACAGATGGAAAGAGTTTCGTACAGATGAACAGCGTCTCGCACAGATGAACCGAGAGTCAGAAGAGTGAGTCCTCCTTCTGGCTCCACCAAACATTGAGCACCTTCGTCTTTTTTTTTTTTTTTTTTTTTTTTTAAACAGAGTCACACTCTGTCACCCAGGCTGGAGTGCAGTGGTGCGACCTTGGCTCAATCAAACCTCTGCCTCCCAGGTTCAAGTGATTCTACTCCCTCAGCCTCCCAAGAAGCTGGGTTACAGGCGTGCGCCACCATGCCCAGTTAATTTTTGTATTTTTAGTAGAGATGGGGTTTCGCCATGTTGGCCAGGCTGGTATCAAACTCCTGACCTCAAGTCATCTGCCTGTGTTGGCCTCCTAAGGTGCTGGGATTACAGGTGTGAGCCACCATGCCTGGTAGTCTTTTCATTGGTAAAGTGACTTGGACTCCATGGCCTCTGCCACCTCTTCCATGCCTGTACCTCAGTGAATCTTTTGCTGTCTCTGGAAGTCAGTTGGAAAATAGGGCAACAATTAGCCTACGGCTGACTTCGTTAGACTATAATGATCTAATGTCTTGAAGATTTTGGTAGTTCAAATTAAGTATGAGAATGGCTCTTCCGGTGCTGAGCAAAGGAAGAAAACTCAAGTAGTAGCAATCTGGCAGGGTTTTCCTGGAACTGGTACTTGACATGTTTTTTTTTTTTTGAGACAGGGTCCCACTCTGTCACCCAGGCTGGAGTGCAGTGGCACAATCATAGCTCACTGTAGCCTTGAACTCCTGGGCTCAAATTTCCCTGTCCTCTTTTTATATACACATATATGTAAATTTTTCTGAACTATCTGTGACTAAGTTGCATACATCCAGAGCTGTTTCCCTGGCCCTCAGTGCAGTCTGGTCCTGGCCTGGATGTCCCTCAAGCCTGGTGCCACATCTTTCCTCCCATCACTACCACTGCTGTCACTACACCCTCAGACTCGGACCTAGCATTTTTTCTCTCATCAGGAAGCCCTCCTTCTACCCACTCAGACCAGAACTCCGCTATATGTCCTCCTCCTTGGGTGTTAAAAAGAAGAACACTTAATTAGATTGGCTTGCTTGGGTGAAGAGGCAGGCTCATCACTAGAGTGCAGTGGCACAATCATAGCTCACTGCAGCCTTGAACCCTCAGCCTCCCAAGTAGCTGGCACTACAGGTATGCGCCACCACACCTGGCTAATTTTTTTTTTTTTGTATTTTTTGTAGAGACCGGTTTTTGCCGTGTTGCCCAAGCTGGTCTTGAACTCCTGTACTCAAGCGATCTGCCCTCCTTGGTCTCCCAAAGTGCTGGGATTATATGCATGAGCCACCACACCCGGCCTGCTTGGCCTATTTTTAAGATAGAGAAGAACTCACGTGGGATAGAGAGGAAAGAGCACGGTCTAGCATCTATAGGCAAAGGTATGGAGGTGAAAACAAGCCCATCCCATGTGGACAATGGACGGGACACAAAAAATCAAAAACAAGAAGAGAAAGCCAGAAATGTCCCCAGCTGGGGAGAGTACAAAGCGTCTTGTGCCTCTTTCCCCATTCGTGGTGCTGTGTGGTGGCATCCCAACAGCAGCCTTCATGTATGCTGTGACAGTTAACAAATCAATTTTGTTTTCCTTCAGTTTAACTGTAAGTTTAAAGTAAATATTGATATTTTCTAAGATATAAAAGCAGTCACTTATCGCAATGCATTTCGACAAAACCAAACAGTTTAGTGACCAAGACTCATAGAGATTTCTCCTAATTGGATAAAAAGATGAGGTCTGTGCTTTTTCATTTGCCTGATTAATTACTGCTCTGAAACCCTTGAAAACAGTCATGGCCTGTAAGTGGTATCTGTTGTTTAATCGAGGACAGATGTTTTTGAAAACCTTTTCAATAGGCCTAGAGAGTTACTGACTCTGAGGCAAATCATTGAACTGCATATTTTTACAAGTAACATGCCAGCAAAAAACAATTTGTACTAATATTCAAGTTAGAGTCACCATAATTGCGGTTTGTTCTAAACCTATCAGCGTCTAGAAGCAGTTCCAAGGTTATGGTAGTAAACGGCATCATCATCAACCCAGGGGACTAGGCTAAACATCCAATAATCACTCGCAAATTCTTCCCTGTACTTCTCTCCCTCATCCCTGCTCTGTCCAAGCCCTGTTGTCAATTTCATTGCCTAAGAGCAGTATCTCTCTGTAGCAGGACATGCCGCAGACAGAACCTCTGACACCAGGTTTGTGAAGGAAGTCGCTTTTTTTTTTTTTTTGAGACGGAGTTTCGCTCTTGTTACCCAGGCTGGAGTGCAATGGCACGATCTCGGCTCACCGCAACCTCCGCCTCCTGGGTTCAGGCAATTCTCCTGCCTCAGCCTCCTGAGTAGCTGGGATTACAGGCACACGCCACCATGCCCAGCTGATTTTTTGTATTTTTAGTAGAGATGGGGTTTCACCATGTTGACCAGGATGGTCTCGATCTCTTGACCTCGTGATCCACCCGCCTCGGCCTCCCAAAGTGCTGGGATTACAGGCTTGAGCCACCGCGCCCGGCCGGAAGTCGCTTTTAATTCGGCCGGGAGTCTCGGCAAACCCGCGTCTCGAGAACCGAGCTCCCCGACTAGAAAATCCTGGCCTCTTTTAAAGGCTCACAGTCTTAGAGGGTACATGTGAGAGGGTCGTGGTGATCAATGAGGCAAGTGAGGGGTACGTGACTTAGGGGGCATCTAATTGTGATTAAGCAAGAACAATGGCTTCCTGGGAACATTCCTCCAGACCATGCCTGTAATCTATGGATAGGATAGGAACTAGGGTAGGGGGAGGGTTGATCTTTAACCTCCAGGTCCGGCTTGTGGCGCTGTTTTTTTTCCTCCTCTCCTGACCTTGCGCCTTCTATTTTCAACTTTTACTTCTTTTGAAATGCAATGTAGAAGGCCAAGGGGAAGCGGTCTTAGAAGCTTAAGTGGAAGGTCTCCTTCCTCATCTCCAGATGTTTCCTGGTGTTTGTTCCTACCACAGCTTACATTAAGGCAACTGTGATATGGGTCTGGTGACGGGAGGAACACCAGGGTCCTTAGCCTCATGCTGATTTAGATAAAACCACATGGACATGGACATGGACATGGACACATGGACACACACAGAATGGTTTTAAGGAGTGGAGAGTTTAAGAAAGAAGGAAGAAGCTCCCCCATACAGAGATGGAGAGGGGTTCGAAGCCAAAAGAGGAAACCCGTGTGCAGAAAAGTGGCTGCTTAAATGAGGAAATTGGAGGAGGCGGTGTCTGATTTGCATAGGGCTCGAGATTGGTTTGACCTGGCACATCATTCACAGAGCCCGCGGAAAAACTGGCCCTCCCACCCTAGTCTTTAATTTGCAAATACAGGGTGCCATGATGTTTGACGCACATAGGGATATGTGGGGGTAGCCATGTTACCAGGCACATGTGGAGGCAAGGGCAAGAGGACCAGGGAGGGAATCGCCATGTTTGGGTGGACTAGTTGCTAATGACCTATATTTGCATATAAAAGCCTGCCAGCACAGCCGGGGCTTTCCTGCTAGACAAGAAACGTTTCTGGAGCTGCTTTCAAAGAAACAAAAACTTCCCAAGGACCCCTTTTCCCATCTGCGTAAAATAATTTCTTAATAACTCCTATAACAACTATATGTTAGGCCTGGTAGAAAACTGAATGCGCCCCAGATGGGTGAAGTGAAGAGACTTTCATGAGGAGACTATTTGAGAAGCGTAGCCAGGGAGAATGGAACAAGCAAGGGCCACTGAGTGCCGGGATAACAAGCACAGTGATGCCCTTACTACTCCTAGGGCTGGGGGCAGTGGGAGGAAACTGTGTTTCCAAGACCCAGTGAGAGCCAATGGAAGAGGCTATGGGCCGGGGCCGCCCAGCGGTTGCTGTAGTGAAGAGAGCGTGTGGATGAGGATATGGCTTGTGTAGCACCGAAGATGGGAAGTTGGGGTGAAGGAATAAATACGCCAACCCTTCCTCCTCCTGTCTTCTAGTCTTGTCGGTACCTCCAACTGGCCAAACCCAACTGACACCAAAGGGCATGGGAACCCAGGAGATGCAGTCCTCCGGCGTCCGCCTCCTCCCTCCTGCGCTAAGCACCAATTGCTGGTGAGGGTGTAGAGCAACGGGATCTCTCATTCATTGCTGGTGGGAATTCAAAAGGTACAGCAGTTTGGAAGACAGACGTTTCTCACAAAGCTGAACGTGATTTTACCACACATTCCAGCAATCATGCTCCTTGACATGTCTTCAGTGGGTTGGAAACTTATATCCACACAAAAATTCTCACACGAATGTTTATAGCAGTTTTATCCACAATTGCTGAAACGTGATCACAACCGTTTCTCTGCACAAAGTAGGGCAGAGACAGCAGAGTGAGTCTGGAGGCTCAAATGAAAAGTAACTAGCACAGTAACAGCTCCCTGCACTTGAACTATTGCAATAGCCTCTTTTTTTTTTTTTTGAGACGGAGTTTCACTCATGTTACCCAGGCTGGAGTGCAATGGCGCGATCTCGGCTCACCGCAACATCCGCCTCCTGGGTTCAGGCAATTCTCCTGTCTCAGCCTCCTGAGTAGCTGGGATTACAGGCATGCACCACCATGCCCAGCTAATTTTTTGTATTTTTAGTAGAGACGGGGTTTCACCACGTTGACCAGGATGGTCTCGATCTCTTGACCTCGTGATCCACCCGCCTTGGCCTCCCAAAGTGCTGGGATTACAGGCGTGAGCCACAAGCCTTGCCTGCCTCCAGGCTTATTTTCTCTCCTAATGATTCTCCATATATGCGACAAGAATGCTCTTTCTAAAGCAAAAATCTCCAGGTCACTCCCTTCTTACAACCCTTGAGTGATGTCCCCCGTGCTCCCAGGATAAAATTAGAACTCCCCAGCATGGTGTCCAGTGTCCTGTGAGCCGCATCTCTATCCACCCCCCTATCTCTTTGCACTCCATGCGGTGCTGGGGGCTTCGGCACCTGGCGGACCCTCCCAGGGCGCCTGCACCTGAAGGCCAGGCCCTCCAGTGCGCGTGCGCGGCGAGGGGCTTCCGGCGCCTGATCGCCAGGCCCCAACGGCTGGCGCCTGGTGGCGTCGCCTGAGCGTCTCGGCGGCGCGGGCGCTGGCGCAGCTGTGCGGGCCGAGGCGGGGCCGGGCGCTCCTAGCCCTGCTGGCATCGCTGCTCCTCTCCCGGGTCCTGGCGGCCGACGGAGAATGCGGCATCCACGACTTTTGCCTGGCTTCGAAGGTGGTGGGCAGATGCCGGGCCTCCATGCGTAGGTGGTGGTACAATGTCACTGACGGATCCTGTCAGCTGTTTGTGGATGGGGCTGTGACGGAAACAGCAATAACCACCTGAGCAAGGAAGCGTGTCTCAAGAAATGTGCTGCCGTCACAGAGAACGCCACAGGTGACCTGGCCACCAGCAGGAATGCAGCAGATTCCTCTGTCCCAGGTGCTCGCAGAAGGCAGGACTCTGACGACCACTCCAGCGATATGTTGGACTATGAAGAATACTGCACCGCCAAGGCAGTCACTGGGCCTTGCCGTGCGGCCTTCCCACGCTGGCACTTTGACGTGGAGAGGAACTCCTGCGACAGCCTCATCTATGGAGGGTGCCGGGGCAATAAGAACAGCTACCTCTCTGAGGAGGCGTGCGTGCCCCGCTGCTTCCGCAAGCAGGTGGATTCTTCCCTGCCGCTTGGCACCAAGGTGGTGGTTCTGGCGGGGCTGTTCCTGATGGTGCCGATCCTCTTGATCTAGGTGGACGCAGAGGAACCAGGAGCGGGCTCTGCGCACCATCGGGAGCTCAGGAGACGACGAGGAGCACCTGGTGAAGAACACATATGTCCTGTGACTGCCCTGTCGCCAAGAGGGCCAGGGAAGGAAGGGTAGACTATGTGCGTGCGTTTTTAAAAGAGAGCGATTGACTTAGATTTGTGCGATCATTAGGGCTGAGGTCTGTTTCTCTGGGAGGTAGGAAGCTCTTCCTGGTCTGGCGGGAGTGGGTTTACTTTGGAAGTCCTCTAGGGTAGGCTCCTCCTCACGTGGCCTGTGGTCTGGTAGCAGCCGGGAGTTGTTTCCTCACTGGTAGATTTCTTTAGCCCCCAGAACTAGTCTCTCATCACTCGCCTCAGCCTCTGCTTAGCCACGCCCTCTGCCTGCAATATTTTTTATTCCATTGTGCCCTGTTCTCCACGTCTTCTCCCCAGCTGGCTAAATTCTGCTCCCCACCTTTTTTCATTTTTATTTTAAGATGGCATAGGGTTCACCCCCAACTTTTTTTTTTTTGAGTTTTTAAATAGACTTTATTTTTTCTAGTAGCTTTAGGTTTATAGAAGAATTGAGCAGGAAGTATAGAGTCCTCATGTACTTCCTTTCCATCCCCTCCACAGTTGCACCTGTTATTAACATCTTATCTTAGTGTGGTGGTACATTTGTTACTATTGACGAATCAATATACATTCTTATTAACCAATGGACTCATTGTTTACATTAGGGCTCACTCTTTATGTTGTATAGTTCTGTGATTTCAACAAATACATAATGTCAGTTATCCACCATTACAGCATCTTAAAGAATAATTTCACTGCCTCTAAAAGTCCCCTGTATTTCACCTGTTCCTCTATTCCTCCTCCCCTTAAATCTGTGGCAACCACTGATTTTTTTAACTGTGTTCATAGTTTTGCCTTTTCCAGAGTGTTGTATCCTTGCAGTCACACAGTATGTGTCTTTTTTCAGACTGGCTTCTTTCACATTGCAATATGCATGCATATCTTTCCATGGCTTGAAAACTCTTTTTTTTAATTGACAATAATATTCCATGGTACAGATGTACTGCAGTTTGTTTACCCATTCACCTATCAAAGGACATCTTGGTTGCTTCCAAGTTTGAGCAATTATGGATACAGCTGCAATAAGCATTTCATGTGAGGGTTTTTGGGGGGATTGTAGGTTTTCAACCCATTTGGAAAAATACCAAAGAGTATGATTGCTAGGATGTATGGTAAGACCATGTTCAGCTTTGTAAGAAACTGTCTTCCAAAATGCTGTACCATTTTGCATTCCTACCAGCAATATGTGAGAGATCCCGTAGCTCCATATCCTCACCAGCATTTGGTGCTGTGTCTTGGATTTTGGCCATTCTAATAGGTGTGCAGTGGTATCTCCTTGTTGTTTTAATATTTCCATTTCCTAATGACTTATGCCATTGAGCATCTTTTCATTTGCTTAGGTGCCACTTCCGCTCCGGTTTTAACTATTGGCCTAGTTGATGGTTTCTGCAGGAAAGTGCTCTCCCCCATTGTATCAGATAGCCTTTGCTGTGTAATGGATAAGTGCAAAACTTGGTAGCTGAAAATAGCCATCACTTATCTGTGGGTCATGTGAAGTTCAGCTGATTAGGCAAGGTTGTGCTGGGTGGCCCCGCTTTGGGCTTGCGGATCTCCTGGGTCTGCTGGGTCTGCTAGCTGGCTCTGTTCCACAGGTCTCCAACCTTGTTTGAACCAGGAGTATGGCCATCATTTGTTCTTATGACAAAGGCAGAGGCACAATGGAGTGAGTGGAAACATGGCATTTCTTAGAGTCTGGACCCGCTGAAACATACCTGCAATTAGCTATAGTAAGTCACAGGGCCAACTCTAAATTCAAGGGACAGGATGAGGCCATAGCAAGGATGTGGATGTGTGATGGGGAAGAGAGAAGAATTAAGATCAACAAGTCTATCCACCACAGTGCACCACTTTGATCATAACTATTCACTTTCCTCCAACATGCAAATGCCCTTACCCCCATCCCTGGGCCCCAAATGGCTTGATTTGATCCACAGGATGTCATGGAGACCTGCAGACTAAAATGGCAAGTCTTTGCACCTTAAATACCAAACACTCAGAGGTGAAACAGGAAGTAAATAACCAAAATAAAAATTTCCATTTGAAATTCTCCTATTTCTTCCCACATGCCACTGGTCACAGCAAGTCACATGGCCAAACCCAAGGCCAAGAGATACTCATAATAAGGCCATGACAAAGGAGGGATAAGGAACTGGGGACAATACTGTACCCCCAGTATAAATGGAAATGGAAGGATGGTTGTCCTTCCATTTATGTCATCTACCTTGACCACCAATTCTGAAAGGGGCTTTAGAAAAAAAGCCCTTTTTTTTTTTTATCTGAGCAAGTTTCTCAGAATGCTTTCAGCCTGGAGAAAGCTGGGGGCTCAGAGGTCTGTCTACTTTTTAAAGAGCCACAGTCCTTTATACTCAAGGCCAGAAGTATTTTTGCCAATAATACTCTCAAAAAAACTTTCTGAGTTTTACAAAATAAAGACAAAGAATTTTTAAAGTGGCAAGAAAGACATTTTTGCCCCAAAAAGGTGAGATAAAGGAACAAATTTTTCCTAATGATTATCTAAAAAACAATTTTGAAGATGTGGTCAAAAAGATCAAATAGGAATGTATCCCATACACATTTTCTTATTGATAGTTTTGGGTTTAAGTAATTCAAGATTTAGACCAAAATTTATGTAAACTAATATATAACAAACATTATCTTGGTAGTAGTGTATTGAAATTGATACTTTAATTTCCCCAAATCTTTGTGAGGATGGCAGATTAAACAGGGTGGTTTTCAGTGAAACCATAATTTGTATATTTAATGGTTAATGCATAAGTTTTGAGAAGGTCTTTTTAGAAGGCATTTACATTGACAAAGTAAATGATTATATTGTCTGAGTTCAACCTTTATGCAAGTCTGATGATTTCTAATTCTTTGTATTTAAAAAAATTATAATAGAATTTGAGTTTTAAATTGATAGAACTTTTAAAATTAAAGACGATAAATGCTTATCCTGTGATTTTTTTTTTTTCTTTCTCGAGACGGAGTCTCACTCTGTTGCCCAGGCTGGAGTGCAGTGGTGCGATCTTGGCTCACTGCAGCCTCCACCTCCTGGGTTCAGGTGATTCTCTGCCTCAGCCTCCCAAGTAGCTGGGACTACAGGCGTGAACTCCTGACCTCATGATCCACCCGCTTCAATCTCTCAAAGTGCTGAGATTACAGGCGTAAGCCACCGCACCTGGCCTATCCTGGGATTGCAGCATTTCTCTAAAAAGTTCGAAGAATTGAGTGATGTAGAAGGGACCAAATTTCTTTCATTTTTATTAACTTACATATAAGGACACAATTTCTCAGCACAAACAATAAAACAGAAGGAATAAAATTTGGGGAAAATCCTTTATGAGCTTTTTTTCTTTATTTTATTTTAAGTTTCAGGGTACATGTGCAGGATGTGCAGGTTTGTTACAGAGGTAAACATGTGCTATAGTGGTTTGCTCACCCATCAACCCATTACCTAGATATTAGGCCTGGTGTGCATTTGCTATTTTTCCTGATGCCTTTATGAGTTTTTAACTTTTTTTTTTTTCTTTTGAGATGGAGTCTCACTTTGTCACCCAGACTGGAGTGCAGTGGCACCATCTCAGCTCACTGCAACCTCTGCCTCCTGGGTTCAAGTGATTCTCCTGCCTCAGCCTCCCAAGTAAGCCTTGCCTTGGCACCTGCAGGGTCTCCCACCCACAGCTGAGACTACAGGCATGTGTCAACACGCCCAGCTATATTTTGTATTTTTAGTAAAGACGGGGTTTTTTCACCGTGTTGGCCAGGCTGGTCTCCATCTCTTGACCTCATGATCCCCCCACCTTAGCCTCCCAAAGTGTTGGGATTACAGGCATGACCCAACATGCCCAGCCTAGTTTTTAACATATTTTGTTCTAGTCTACCCATGTGTCAAAATTCATTTGGGATATACCTCTCTGTCTGTCTATCACTCCATATTTCCTATTAATTGGTGTATAACAGGTTGTTGTGGGCCTACGCCTTTAAGTTTTCTAGGAACCTGGTTGTACAGCTAGAAGGCTTTCCTAGACCAGGGCTATTCACAGACACATCAGTACCACTTGGGAGCCTGTTCAAGGTACAAGCTCTTGGGCCTTTTCCTGTAACTGTTGAATTGGAATCTCTGAGGGTGGTGCTCAGGTAGCTGTATTAACAAGCCTCTGGGTGATTCTGAAGCATGCGAAAGTTTGAGAAATGACTGGGGGCTATCTTATTTCTCCCCGAGTCTGGTCGTTACCCTGGGGACTTGGCTTAACTGCCAGTGCCCTGAGTTGGTTGTTTCCAAGATGTATCTTAATGGCCACACCCTTGACTTGATCTTTGTCTCCAGGTTGTATTTTATTCGGGAGTCTTTTACTGGCTGGAAAGGCTAGGATAAAAAAACAGTTCTATTTTCCAACCCAGCTAGTTTGGGCTGTCTATATTCCCTCTAAATTCTGCTTGCAAGCTGACCAGTTCTCCTCTAAGCTATACTATATCATATGTGCTGCAGTCTTCCAGTTGTAACCTTCTGCCTGGCAATCTTCTTGCCCAAGTTCATAGGTTCATTAGGCACATTTTCAATCTTCCAGGTTAGCTCAGGTGACAGTTTTACCAGATATTTTATTACTACAAAGCATAGGTCACAGTTCTCCAGCTTCCTATAACAGTTTCCTTTCTTCAGCCTCCATCTGCTTCCTAGGCCCAAAACTAGTACCATGTATTTTGGGATTTGACTGCAGTACCAATTTCTGTAAGGGTTGGATATTGCTGTATAACAAACCACTCCAAAACTTGTAACTTAAAACAATAATTATTTAAGACTGCTCACAGGTCCATGAGTTAACTGGGGTTCTGCTGAAAGGCTGGGTGGCTCTGCTGCAGGACATGGTGGCTGCAGAAATATGTTGCCATGCTTGGGACTTAAAGGAGAGCAAAATAGAAGGAAGGAAGGAAAGAAGGAAGGAACAAGGAGGAAAAACAAAGGAAGGATGAAAGAAGGAAGGAAAGAAGGATGAAGGAAAAAAGGATCACTTGAGGTCAGGAGTTCGAGACCCACCTGGTCAACATGG